ATCCACTCCAAGAGAATGTTTTACTCGGACCACCTGAGGTATTCAATGGCCTTTAATGACTGGATAAGGGCTCATTAAACATAATATCAGTGCTGAATTTTTATTCCACCTCTGGATCTCGCTGCTCCTCACAAAGACAGAATATATTTTTTAAGTGTTTTTTTGAGAGTTATGCTCATTTTCAGATCCTTATTTTTAAACTATTGGAAAGCTTTGAAGGTGAAAGTAATCCTTTTTATGCTATGTAGACCTTATTTCATCCACAATCTGAGACAGGCTCCCAGTTTTTTTTTTAGCATCTCATCTCATCCACTTCAGGACAACTTTCCTCTAATTAGCTGACACTCTTATTGCTCCCACAAATAGATCTCAGGAATCGCAGTGCATTCTGGGTAGTGACAACCATGTTGTTCATGCAAAACTAAACAAAGATTTCTGTGTAGGTAGACATGGTTGTCTTAAGTGCAGTAACTGGACTAACTTTATTAATTTATTCATTTCACGCACGGGGGAAGTGGCCATCCTTGCACTGGCAGCTGTAAACAGTCTGTGTGATCTGTTTGCTCTGTGTTTAGTAATAATAACATAGCAGACATATTACTCACACAAATGAGCATAAGTGTCAGCTTTCTTTCTCTTATTCTTTCTTCCTGTCAGTCTCTGGATGTCAAACAATATCAAACAGATACTTTTAGACATGTCAATCACATGATTCAGGAAGATGCAGGCCAGAGGGTAAGACTGTAGATGAGAAGATGAGAACAAATGTGCCAATCTGGTAGCAGGTCAGTGTAAAATGAACTAAAAGAAGATCAACTGGTTTCTACAGCTCTTGATTAGTGTGTGTGTGTGTGTGTGTGTGTGTGTGTGTGTGTGTGTGTGTGTGTGTGTGTGGTTTTGTTCTTACTACAACAACAAGTTCTAGCAAAAGTAATCCATCATCCCCTATTTCTTTATATTTTATAATAGTTACATTTGGCTTTGAATTTATCTCAGAATCTAATCTCACATGTTCACACTATTACCTGCCAGGTGTTGGGTATTGTTGATGCATTCTTCTTCTATAGTATAACCTCAAATCTTTCATAAAAATCAAGGAGCCATATGATTTTTTTAATAAATGAATGGGTAATGGATCCTATTGTCTGTAGTTGCCAAGCAGAGATATTTGAAAAATCAATCATGTTTCAAAACTGGTTCAAAATGATTGCAATAAGTATTTAATATTAATGTCTCAGGAGTTGTTAGGACCACATTATTTTGATTTTCTGTATCATCTGCTCTGTCTCCCTGTTTCTGCCCCTTACTCATTCAGTTTTATTTTAACTGTCAACAGCTTTTGATTCATTCGGGGTAATAATACTGATAGAACACTTAAGAAGAAAATTCTGTTTTTATCTGGGCCATTAATCTACATTCAGACCCCATCAGCCTAACTCCCAACCCAGCAAGCAGTATCTCTTCAGATCTTTTGAAAATGCAAATGCCACCGTTTCTTATTCAGTACAGTTGCATTCATGATTGCATATGTGACATGTAGAACTATAAAATACAGGACTACTTATTTGACAGAATATAATACCAATAAAGCATGACGTTTCTCAAATCATTTTATGGAAAAGTGTCACGGTAAGTACTGGTTAGCTTTGGCCTCCCTGTTTTCTTTGTCTTGCAGGTCCAGATCAGGTGGGGCAGGCTTGGCTCCACCCATTGTATCCCTGGTCTACACACCTGTGGCTCATTTCCCTGATTTCCCCTGCTAGTATATAAAAAGCAGCTGAGGTAACTAGTCTTCACCAGATTGTCTGCTTAGCCATTAAGAAATCAGGCTGTCAATCTGTTCAATCATCATGGTGAAAATTATTATTGTGTGCCAACCTCTCTGAGGAATCACTGCTCTTGTAACCTACTCACCTGGTTTATTCCTGGAAAACGTTCCCTGGAACCGCAACAGCATTTTTATATATCATTCTTGTGTATATCCTCTCTCTCAGTGGATTACCTCCTTAGACTCAGATTCTGCCCTGAGCTTGCCCATCACTGTTGTTCTCTCTGGAGAGTATCTCAGTACAAGATTTCTGTGTTTCAAGAGCTGTGCTTTGTGTACAATTAAGTAATGAATATTGCACAATTCAGTCTCAGTCTGGTCATCTGTTTCTCCACTGGTGCTTGTGCCTTGATAGGAAAGTAGAAGCTTGGGAAACATATCTCAGGTTTACAACCATAGGATTAAAAATCCCAGTCACAGCGGGGCCACAGCCAAATGTGGATAAACAAGTGGAGCATCAGCAAGAACATGTGGCCCAAAATCTGCCAAACCGAACATGTGGAACATCAAGAATAACATTTAGAAACTGTGCGACTGTTGGCCTCTAAGTTAGAGGCTTTAGAAAGGAGACTTTGCAAACCAATTTCTGATGTCAGTGGCTTCATCCATCATTTTTTTATAGTTCATGTGAAGGAATCAGGTCACCTTTCAGCCTGTGGGATATGCCTGCTCACAAGTGTTAAGTGAAGAGTGCTTCAAAGTAACATTTTACTGTAATCACTTTACATTTTCCATAATACAGTGTTGCCGCACATTACTCTAGAAAATTCAGTAATCTTATTAAGCTTTATTTCGGTGCTTTTTTTTCCCCTGAGATGTCATACACTTTGGATTCTAGCCAATCATTTTACCTTTCCAAGGATAGTAGGCGGGCCCAGGTACGAAAGTTCTTTTAGAGCAGAGCTACAGATTAAAAATGCCCAAGGTGAAGCGGTCAAAAGTCTGGCTGTACTTCACAGCAAAAGATGCAAACTCAGCAGCCTGCAACAAGTGCTTTAAGGTGATACTGTGCAAAGGAGGTAACTCCTCGAATCTGATGAAACACTTGGAGACGTATAGCATTTTCTTAAAAGCTGTATTTGATAGCTTGCTGCGAGACCTCACACATCTACTGCGCGTGGGTTGCCTGTTATCTGACCCGGAGTTAGCAACATCCCCCAAAAACCCGAAGAGGAGAGTCCTGGCCCCTAGCCCTGCCAGTGTAGCAGAAATGATGATGGATGATGTCAGTGCGCCCCAGGGCAGCTGTGGCTACAATGTAGCTTGCCATCGCCAGTGTGTGAATGTGTGTGTGAATGGGTGAATGACTGAATGTAGTGTGAAGTGCTTTGAGGTCCTTAGGGACTAGAAAAGCGCTATACAAATGCTGGCCATTTACTATTTATATGATGATGGCAGCAGCAGCAGCCGTTCTTCTCTGCATGAGTAGCTTAATGTTGTTCGTGTGTAAGCTAACCACGTTATTACATTAATGCATGTAAGGTGAACTAGCAAACACCGTCGTAGTTACATGCGGCTGTCTTCTTGTTTGATGGCAGATACTACCTTCACCCTGGCCAAAAAGGCTAAAATGACCAAAGAAAAAGTGGAAAAGTTAAACATGAGAGGTTTTTGGACAAAGTTTGTGTTTTTTCCATTGATTAAGCACTGCTTCCAGCCAAGAGTGATACCATATATGCCTTATAGCCGCAGAAAAGGCTAACATTGTTATCTTTTACAAAAAAACAGATGAACATGAGAAGTTTTTGGACCAATTTTGTGTTCTCCATTCTTTAAGCACCGGTTCGAGCACCGTTTAAGCACCGGCACCGTTTCAAAAGTACCGGTTTGGTACTGGTATCGGATAAAACCTAAACGATACCCATCCCTACCCATGACACAATACAGTAGATTTCAGTGTCAAATATGTATCCCAGATTTCATCAGTAGGAGGTAGTGCACTACATTTGAATACTTGAAAAACTGGGTTTTTCCCTTTCTGTTCACAGTAGGATCAGTTAAGAGGAGTTACATTTTCATGGGTCTGTTTTGGCTCAGCTACTCAAATGTCTCAGAGCTCTGCAGGGATTTTCACCTGCGGCCAGGTGCACTCAGGGGATGCAGCGCTTGCAGGCTTTCTCTGCTTTTGGTAAAGTTGCAGCAGAGATTTTTACATTTGAACATTTTTGTAGGTACTTTGCTGTTACTTTTTAGCAACTGGTCATCACAATCCTTTTCTGCAGAAGACTATGAATGATTTGCAAAAAACATGACACTGATACCAGTTCTTTTGTTTCCCTTTTTTTGGTTAGTAATAAGTTCTTTCATTTACTTTTGAAACTCTGTGACACTTTCTCTACAAAGGTGTTATTAAAATAAGCTCTCTGTGCCTACTTCCCACATACACACAGCTAGAGCAGAAACCTAATTGGGCAGGATCATAAGAGAATGAAGAACACTAAAGAAGCAAAGCTCTTTCCTTTCTGGTATTCTCTCTCTGCATACTCCAGTCTCATGGTCTACTTCTAATTAGCAAATGTTAAATTTATATCCTTTGTTGTGAGAGGTTAGACAACTCAGTTGTTAGAGGTTGCCCTTGTCTTTGTTAAAAATGGCAGTGTTGATGTTTTGTATCAAATTTTTCTTTTTATCAAAGAAAATACAGCCAGGTATTGATTGCTGTCACTGATTACACCCTGCTACGTGCTGTCTCATCACTCAGCAACTAACTACATAAACACCTCAGGGTGCTCATTTGGCTTGTTATTTTTGTATGTATTATTTAATTATTGTGTAAATGTAAAGTAACTTTTATTTCATCCAGTGGATTGTATAGCCCCCAGTTATATATTTGATTTTATTGTATGATTTTGACTGCGGCAGTCATGAGCCTAAAATTGCTTATTGTGAAACTTAGTCTTATTGGTTGCATGCTTACTAACTATTTTTGCTTAGACAGATGTACCACATCTATGTATCATGTATATAGTAGATTAGATAGCCAGCACATATTATTCTGAAGTGGCTATTCTAAAGACAACAAAAAAAAGTAGGGATTAAGAGTTGGCTGAATTTTGTTACCTTTGCTATACACTCCAAAATTTACTATTGTTAGGTGACTCTAAAGGGGTGGACTCATGCAGCAGAAACACACAGAGGAAGTTGCAGTGTATGCTGTTTAATTACAGTGGCAGGGGTATTTACAAGGGTGAGGGCTATTTACAGTGGCAGGGTAAATGTAAGATGACGGGGAGAAACGAAAGCACAGAGCTGGGGCGTGCAGGGAGGATGGGTAGCGTACTGGGGCGATCTAAGGGGGAAGGACAAAACAGAGTTAGGGGGTGACTCATAAAAACTTAGAGCAAAACGGATGCGGACCGGGAGAGTTGGAGAGCTTACTTGATATAACTGAAATACAGACATGGGCGGAGGCCTTCTAGAGCCACAGGTAGAGGCGAGGCAGATCTCCGTTCAGACCAAGGAACACAATCTCCAGAGTCCAAGGCAGGCGAGCGGGCAGTGGGACAAGCTAGTGGGAAGGAAAACAGGCAAGGAGACAAATCCTGAATACTTAGCAGATGTAGTATAAATCTCGAGAGTCTATACAAAAACACGTTACCACTTGTGGAAGCAATACTCTGACACCAGACGTCCATCGCATAGCTTTTGAAAAACGCTCCCTCTGATGACATCTGATGCACCGCAGGTTTGCCAGGGATCCCGCAAAGCACCGCGCCACACACCTGTGCCGAAAAAGGAAAACAAACCCAATAACACCAGACACAACACACCAGCTCCTAATAACTAAAATTAAGATGAGGTATATCAGTCTCACCTTAATTTCAGCACAAAAGCAAATCTCAAAACATCTAATTTTTGGATCAGGTCTGTGAGAGGGTAAAGACTTCTATCATCAATTCTAAACCTTTAGAAGTATTTTCAAATTATTTCTAATTTAGCTGTAAATTTGCCACCAGGGGTCATTTGACTATTCTATACAGTCCTATAAAGTTAACAGCCACTTGAAACTGTAATCTCTGCCTCGATCAGACAGATTTAGTCTGTGCATGCAGACTCAGATTATGCGTGTGGTTTTAGAGAGACAGCACTTTGTTGTTTGTTAAAGTTTGAGGATTGATGAATGAGGATAAATAACATCTAGAGGATGAAGTCAGAGTGACTAAGCTGTCAACAGTGGAGGGGCAAGGATCTTTCATTCAGCTCTGTAATCCAGGTCCCTTCCCTCATTACCGGATCAACAATAAAAGCACGTTTCTGATATGATCCTCCCAGATGACCTTGAGCTCCCCTAATCCCACATCCCCAGCTGGTATTCACCAGCAATGGCAACTAAGCCTGACCAGCAGTTATTTCACACTACATCAAAATGGCATGTAGGGGCACAGAACCTCATCCCACCACTGCTGAGTAAAGACAGGGAGAGGTGAAATAGACTTGGAGAGAGAGGATGAAAAAGACAGGAAAAGGGGAAAGGGTTGAAAGGTGAATAGGGAGAATATGAATATTGAATAGTTAATGTAATTTTCTTCATCTATGCATGTGTGCTTACACCATGGAAGGAATATCAGTAGCAGAAATATCAGTACCCAATCTATTACTCTAAAGTGGCCCTTGACCCCTATTGTGCCCACCTCACCAACTGAACTGAAGCTTCACAATGGTTTGAATAATTACTAATGATCTTTTTACTGTACACTCTTAACCCCTTAATGCCTTTTTTCATCACATCAGTGTGTGGTCCAAGTGCTTGAACAGGGACAGCTTGTTAGGATCCGTTCGCAATCATTCACAGCTCAGATGTAAAAGCTACTAACTTGATAATTGTGGTAATACTACAATAATAGTATTGCAAATATCAAATCTCTGATGGTCATAGTAGTTTTAAAATATTAAAGTTACCATAGTTACACTTGGCTGCATCCTCTTATTGGAAGTAGTAATTATGACAGAGCAAATGAGATGGTGAAGTGACAGAGTCCACTGTGCGTGTGAGTTATGGCTTTCTTTCCATCCTTACTCTTACCTCCAGCACAGCTATGTCATGTTATGATGTGATGCAGCTGATCGTGGACCCTCAAAACAATGGTTGCTTTTGTCTGCACATTTCAGAAGTGTCGCAGAAGAGCCTCTAAAAGCTACATCGCTAAAAGGTAGATGAGATGAGATGATCCCAAAGTGAGACACAGGAAATCTGTTCAATTTTTAAAATAAAAGAATAAAATAAAAATAAATTTGAAGCCATGTTAAAAATGAACTTCTCATGCATGCTCCTCAGGTTTTAGCTTACCTAATTTTTGTGAACACCTTCTAAGTTTTGTATTGATTCTTTTAATTCTTGGTGATATTGGCACCTCTCTCTTTGATTTTAATTTAGAATAAAAACCCTTTGTTTTGCTCGTGGTTCTAGCTCCCTGCTTATGTTTGCTCCCAGACACTTTTACTGTTATTTCCCCATATCCCCAGGAACTACAACACTATGTAAGAAATAGGTTGGCCTTAATAAATTAGTCCACAGAACTGGAACTAAAGGCAGAATACTTTGCGCTTCAGTTTATGTTTCAGCTAAATCTTGTTGTCCATTGACAAGGACATGGCAGCCATCCGTTATAAGAGGATGATCCTCAAATCATGACGAGTAACCCTCCATTCATTCCTTAAGCACCTATTCGGTTCAGGATTGTGCCTAGCCAAGTCACTAATCTATCACAGGCCAGATGAAAAACAGATTACACTAAATGTTAATTATAGCCATTTTGCTTCAGCTTGATTATCTGGTGCTTTCAAGTCATTGTGAGCTTCAGAGTATTTTTTTGTTTGTTTTTGATTATTTAGGTTTATTAAGCATCTCTTTTGCGGTTTCTTTGAATGTGTTTTGGTTTCTTCTTTTTTGCATCTCCTCTAGATTATTTTCTGTGCTTTGAAGTTGCTTTGATTTGTGTGTGAAATCATTTTTTTTCTCTTTAGGATCATTGGAAATATTGGATTTTAACATGGGAGACTGCTGTAATTCCAATAACTGTTCCATCTTGCCAGTTGTTTTGCAGGTTTACAAGTCTGAGCTGTCTCTTCATTCAATGGCTCTGGCATTCTGTTATGTATGCACACATACATATAGATGATATAGTTAATTCTAACTGAAGATGGTTATATAATTTTAAAACTAGAATGTTTGAAACAATTCACTGCAAGCTTATTAAGTTCATGTAATAACCTGTCAGATATTTTTGAAATGAGATAACTAACAAATATACAGTGTACTTGTTCAATTTAATCCAATGTCCTCACAACAAACCTTATTCTTTGGGAGTTATATTAGGTTTAGTTTTGTTTACATAGTTTCAAAAGGATAGTGATTCAACTCCACAGCAATTTTGCAGGTGTCATTGTGGTGGTTTATTGAGCTGAGAGATGCTTTGTAATATTCCGCTGTCAATAAATGGAGCAAAGCATGAAAACTCACTTGCTGGAAGATGATTAAATTGGTACATTCAGTTTCATCATCAGTTCAGAGAGTCTAAAAATTGACTGGTGCAGCGGCTGTCTTTTTTCCCCTCCCTTTTGCTGAAATGTTCAGATACAACTGGCCAATTTAGCTTCCACTTGGCTGACAAAGGGTTAGAAAAGCCTGGGACTTCCAGTGTTAATAATAATGATGAAATATTGTGTTAATAATACTTTAAATTCTAATTAGTTAACCTTATCAAGAAATAGCATACACACCAATTGCCTTAAAAAACAAGTAGAAAACAAGGAACTATTGTACTAAAAATGTATTTTTTAGTATAGGTTCCCTACATGACGGTTAAGCGGCATGCAAAATTAATTTGAAAGTATCTACAACATATGATTTCTTAGTTGTTTACTCGAATATCATATTTACTTGTTAAAGTAATGAAAAAAAGTGTAAAGGGCCATGAAGGCCAGTTTTGGACCTAAATGCAGACACAATGGACAGCTATTTATTCAGAACACAGGTTTTATTTCACTCCAGAATCTTAATCCACAGGTTTTTGGAAAGGATAAGTTCAATGCAAGAGAGGAAAAGGTAGATTAATCTGCTGGATATGAACAGGAACGTCAAGGTGAGTACTTTTAGGAGTATGAGGGAAGCAGATTTGCTTAGTTGGAGAGACGGAGATCACTGAACAGGGGACGTACAGAGCATCAGACTAAGCGAAGGAGTGAGAAGTCAAGACCTCTAGCTTTTTCTCCTTCCCAGAGACTGGAGGATTGTTGCCAGGGCAGGCAGGTAAGTGTCCAGCATGAAACGCGGAGACAGAGTTGGGTAGTGACAAGAGTAAGGTGAGTAACGTTAACACAAGAAAGAACAAAACAATAATCCAATAACATGGATGTTGATTTACCAGTGTGAGGTAGTAGAGTAGTAGTGGAGTGTGAGCTTGAGCTGGTCTTTAAATGCTGGCGGATGTTTGATGCTCATGCTCTGCAGGTCAGGTCAGGAGGGAATCTGGACTCAGGGGCAGTGATGGAAAAATACTCCACAACATGACACTCAGCGTGGACAATGACGAAAAGGTCCAATCTCCTAAAACAGCCACATATATTCAATGGATGTAATTAAAATAAAGGTACAGTAATAAGCATTTTATTTCTTTTCTTTCTGATTAGTAATAAATACTCCTGATCTGAAAATGTAATAACCAGTTTCCATACACTCATCACAGATGTGAATGTCATGATAATGTGTGTGTGTGTGTGTGTGTGTGTGTGTGTGTGTGTGTGTGTGTGTGTGTGTGTGTGTGTGTAAGAACACAGATAGTTTCCGCTGAGCTAATTGATTATAATGACATAAACTAGAGAGGTCAGGCAACTAAAAAAATATCCACGTTTTTATAAATGATATTTAATATCAAGATTTAAAACTTCAGGTCCAATATGATTGTTAATTTAAAAACAACTAGCATGTTTGGCAAGATCAAATTACTGTTTTGCTATCGAGTTCTGATGAAGTATTAACTTTATCTCTTTGTCAGAAAGATCGAACAGTAATTACAGAGGTGAAAGTGTTGTTTTTTGCTTCTTTTCGATGTGTAAAGATCCATAATGTTGTTTATAGTGTCCACAGTGTTTCCGTGCAGGCTGGTGTTCCTCTCTATATATGGGGGCATGTGTACTGCCATCTACTGTAGGCAACATGCTGACTGGGGATCAGAACCTTATACAAACTCACTTCAAATAAACACAACTATCTCAAACTTACCGAAAAATATGTATCAAATAAAACAGTTGCATTCTCTAAAACAATCACAGAATATATCAATTGAAAGTTTACATTTGATAAGACGTTGCAGTAACAGGTAAAACGATTTCCCAAGTTATATTACTTTCACAGAAAAATGCTATTATACATTTCTTCACCAAAGGTGTCTATAATAATGGTATTTGTATTTTTGATCCTCTTAGCAAATCTCAGATGTGTTCACACACACTCGTCTGCAAAAGCCCTTTTAAGCCAACGATGTTACACGCCGCAGGCATTTTGTGGGTATTTCTGGACTGTGAGGTGATAATTACAGTTTACACTCTGCAAGCTGCTGTAGAGATGCAAAAACCAGTAGGAGGCGTGAGCAGGATTTATAAGGTTTATATAGGCCAGGGCAAGACACGCGCAGGAATAGTTGTTTAGCCAAAACATTACAACTCCAAAACCGCAAATCAATTTAAATATATAGTACTGTATAAAGTTGTTGTATTTTGGATTTTCTCTAATCCACACAGGTTCAAAAGTATACATACAGCACAGTACATACAGTACATACATACAGATCAAATATATATGTATACTCACTTACATCTTTCACTAAATGATACTGAAAGTTCTATGATGGATTTATATTTGACAAGACCAAAGCCTTTTAACTTCATGTTAATGATCATTGGTAGTTTCTCTATGCCAGCATAAAAAGGTTTTTTTTCATTGGTACTCACTGGATAGACCAATACTAGGAACAATGTACCAAGCCAAGGAATTCGGTGAAGGAGATGCTTGGATTTATACAAATTGGCAAGGTCTCTTAGAGCCATTTCTTAACAACTACTGATTCAAAGCACATTATTTTAAACTATTGTAATTAATTACAAATGATTTAGATGTGTCTCCACTTTTTCAAGGCCTGGAAGAAGACCTAAACTGTCACTCTCAAATGACAGAAATGTGCTAGGCTGTTCAGTGGCTACCCGGTAACCACCTACTGCCAAAATTGACACCTAGATGCAGCAATTTATTGAAAAATACATGGTACAAGTCCAACCAGAAACAGAGAAGTACATTAAACAGAAAGGTATCCCGAATACCTACCACTGTTGTATACCTACCACTGGTAGCAATGCAGCAGCAAACCATGTCTGAGATTCAACCATGTTTTACAGATGGAGCTGCACAAGCCATTGATTCAAAGTACCTGAGGATGGAACACAGAAAAATATGAAGGATATTTTCCTGGCCTAAATTTTGTTTTGTCTTTTATAACATATAACTCCTTTCAAAATATGCTGCAGTAGACAAAAACTGAAGAAAACCTCCATATGTTGATCCAACATATGGAGATTATCTGTGGAAAGATCAACGTTGCTGAAGTAAAACAGAGCAAAGTCACAGAGGTTTTATTAGAGATATAGCTAAGTGTTTTTAAATTTGGACACTAGGACACTTTGGCACCATCAAGTTTAAATTTCTTAGTTATTGAAAAACATATATTGGGCTTTCTTGTCAGAGGTCATTTTTGCAATGGGGAACATTGGGGGTTCAGCAGGTTAACATTCAAAATCAAAGTGATTTCTTAGTCAGGATAAATTCATTCATCTGCATGGATGAGCTAATGGAAATCAGCTTGAAACCCAATTTCTTGTCTTAGCTACCTAGTTAAGGATGTTAATTAGATCAATCGCCACTTTTAACT